AAAATAAGTTTAATTTTCTCTCTGATTTGAACCATTTACAATCCAGAACAAACACTGACCTCTACAAGGCTCATCCTCAGAGGTTTTTTTTCTTAAACTGCGGTAAAGTTACTGTAAAATTTTCTTTTTAGTTAGTTGGATAAAAAAGCAAAAAGAAAAAAAAATCTATTTAGACAATTTAGCAGCATGAAATCTTTCTTGTACTTACAGTCAACGATGAGTTTGGTTCCTCCACCAAAAGTGTACCACAGTGATAGAAACTCATTAAGAGGCCGTACAAAAACCTCCTGCTCTCACAGCAAACAATTTTCTGCTGAAATGTTGCTTTTCAGAGTAAAAAAGTTTCAGTTTATTCCTAATTTCATCTACAAATCACCTAATATTCATTCAGCTTTAAAGAACTTTATAATTTAATTTAAGATTTATTTTTTTTTGCATTACCAGCCATGAGAATCAAATGTTACTTTACTTCCTTGAAAATATTCTAACATTTTTTAATAATTCAGTTTTTACTTTGTTTAAATCATGAACATAAAAAGAATAATCAAGATAATTTGAAAAAAGCAATCCTGATTATTACGGTAAATCCTAAAAATACCAATTTGTAGTGATCTAATATATCTTGAACCCTGAGTACTAACAATAGAGCAGAATTATACATTTACCTTCAAGATAAAAGTGGTTTTATTCCATATGTGAAAATCCTTTATGTTGTCACTTTGCTATCTTCTATTTTAATAAAATCCTGATTGATTTAAATCCAGCAACTCTTTGTTCAGATGTTGTGTCTCTGTTTGTCTCCAGTGCGCTGAGAGCAGAGAAATCATTTCCATAGAGAGGAGGCTTTGCATGGTCAGCTGATCCTCCAGGGAACTGAGAAGGTTTATAGTCCTGAGAGTTCAACACTGCAGGACTCTGATCTGTCAGTCAAGCCAGCAGAAACAACAAGAACTACGACTCTCATCTCCATCATCATTTATATATAGTTAGGAAAATAAGTATATGAACAACCTGCTATTTTTGAAAGTTCTCCCACTTAGAAATCATGGAGGGTCTGAAATTGTCGCTATAGGTGCATTTCCATTGTGAGTGACATAATCTAAAAAAATCCAAAGAGCACAATGTATGATTTTTTAAACTATTTATTCATATGCTACAGCTGGAAATAAGTATTTGAACCCCTGAGAAAATCAATGTTAAATTTAGACGAATATCGGTACAGTAGCCCTTGTTTGCTGTTACAGAGGTCTAACGTATCCTGTAGTTTTCCAACAGGTTTTCACACACTGCAGGAGGGATTTTGGCCCACTCCTCCACACAGATCTTCTCTAAATCTTTCAGGTTTCTGGGCTGTCGCTCAGAAACACAGAGTTTGAGCTCCCTCCGCAGATTCTCTAATAGGTTTAGTCCTGGAGACTTGCTAGGCCATACTATAAGCTAGATATCCTTCTTTCAGAGCCACTCCTTGGTTATCCTGTCTGTGTGCTTCAGGTCTGTGTGTGATGTTGGAAGACCCAGCCTCCACCCATCTTCAATACTCTAACTGGGAGAGGAAAGTTGTTCCCCCAAATCTCGCAATACATGGCCCTGATCACCCTCTCTTTAATACAGTGCAGTCACCCTGTCCCATGTGCAGAAAAACACCCCCAAAGCATGATGCTACCACCCCCATGTACTTATCATTGTTTTTCCTCCAAACATGGTTAGTGGAATTATGACCAAAAAGTTCTATTTTGGTCTCATCTCACTACATGACTTTCTGCCGTGAATCCTCTGGATGATCCAAATAGTCTTTGGCAAACCTAAGACGGGCCTTGAAATTTGCTGGTTTAAGCAGGGGACCCTTCTGTGCCCTGCATGTTTCAAACCATGACGTCTTATTTACCAACAGTAACCTTGGAAACGATGGTCCCAGCTCTTTTCTGGTTATTGACCAGCACCTCCCGCATAGTTTTGGGCTGATTTCTCACCTTTCTAAGGATCATTGAGACCCCATGAGGTCAGATCTTGCATGGAGCTGCAGTCCGAGGGAGATTGACAGTCATGTTTAGCTTTTTCCATTTTCTAATGATTGCTCCAACAGTGGACCTTTTTCACCAATCTGCTTGACCTTTTCAGACTTGTGCAGATGTACAACTTTGTCTCTAGTGTCTTTGGACAGCTCCTAGGTCTTGGCCATGCTAGTAGTTGTGTTCTTACTTATTGTTTGGGGATGGACAGGTGTCTTTCTGCAGCTAAAGACCTTAAACAGGTGCATCTAATTTAGGATAATAAATGGAGTGGAGGTGGAAATTTTGTAGGCAGGTCTTTGAGGGACAGATTTCTAACTGATAGACAGATGTTCAAATACTTATTTGCAGCTGTATCATACAAATAAATAGTTACAAAAGTCATACTTTATGATTTCTGGATTATTATTTTTTTAGATTATGTCTCACAGTGGACATGCACCTATCATGATAATTTCAGACCCCTTCATGATTTCTTAAGTGGGAGAACTTGCAAAATAGCAGGGTGTTCAAATACCTCACTGTAAATATGTTCAACTCCTTTCTCTTTAATGCAGCACTATTGATTCCTTCACCTTAAGCCAAGGATGTCCAAAATGTGGCAGTTTGCAGCAGCAAATAATGAATGATAAATATGTGGACCATCAGCACAGGTTCTTTAAACAGACTGAGACTTTTCTAATATTGAATAAAGTGAATATAAAATCGACATAGGTTTTTGTCAATATAGTAAAATAGGTGCAACATAAAACTGTTATTTATTTAAACCAGACCTTTTTATTCTAATCATATTAATCTTTAACAGAATCAAATTTATCCAATTACTTTGCAGAAGCAACACAATTTTTTTTTTTATTATTTTTAAATAAAAATTGGCTAAATACAGCTCTCGTTCTTTATTAATTTATCTAATTACTTTGCAGAAGCAACATCATCATCATCATCATTTTTTTTTTTTTTTTTTTTTTTATGTCCAACTTGGCTAAATACAGCTCCCATTCTTAAGTAAAAGAACAAAAAATGTACGGTGTCTTTTTATTCGTACCTTATTAAACCACATTGAAAAAAGTAAGGTGGGTAAGTAGGCATCTTTAGTTAATTTAACACTATTGTTTCATGTTTAAACATAATATACTTTTCAATCTAATCCCTTATTTCTAATTTCAGGATACCTGCTATCGTGACTTAAATAGTTTAATGCATTTTTAATCTAATGAAATTAGAAATGCAAAACTTTCATATAAGGTGCCTCTACACAGTATTATTACATTCTTAACAATATTAAGTTTAGGGGGCAGCAGATGAGTGCGATGTAATTGAAATAATAAAATAATAATGTATATCGTTCCAATGAATACTGATGAGCAGAAAGTAATTAGGCATATATGGTAATATGTCATGTAGTCAGATAATCTTACATTAAATAAATAAATAGATAAATAAAAAAAAAAACATTTTCTCTGACTGAAGCCCAGAATTTCTTTTTTAATTTTTTTATCTGAGTCACCTTTTCCCTCCTCACATAAACCCAGATGTCTGTTTAAATGTGTTTGCTGCTTTGAATGATTGCTGTGCATCACTGCTCCTCGATCAGTTTAAATGAAACTCAGACAAACTTCTCTGCAGTCTGACGGTAAAATTACTCTAAGCTACGATGTTACTGAGTCCACTGTTGATCACACTGCTGCTCCAACTCAGAGGTGAGGATCAGGAAGTTTTTGCTTTCATTTAATCTCAGCTGAAATCCAATCAAATGTTAAATCTTCACACATTTGTACTTTTTCCATCATGTAGGATCAGATTGCAGGCGATCTGTGACTAAGTCTCCTGCAGTGAAGTCTGCTTCTTTGGGGGAGACAGTCTCTCTGAGCTGTACAGCCAGTAGTGGAGTTGATGATGATCTGAGTTGGTATCTGCAGAAACCTGGAGAGCCTCCTAAGCTGCTGTTTTACAAAATCAGCAGCCGTGAATCTGCTCCAAGTCATTTCAGCAGCAGTGGATCAGAGCCTCAGTTCACTCTGACAATCAGTGGAGTTAAGGCTGAAGATGCAGGAGATTATTACTGTATGGGAGAGTATAGAGATGGGATCACACAGTGATACAGAGTCGTACAAAAACCTCTGTCAGTTTCACCAAACACTGTTTGCTGTGCAGCAGCTGTTAGTTTCTGCTACAGACTAGAAGATGGATCTACGGTCCAGTGAAGTTCACACTGTAGTGTTCAAGGGAGAAACTGACTTTACTTTTAAAAAGATCACATTCCAATTCTGTTTAAAATAAACTCAGAGTAAAGAAACACAAATACACATCAGTTGTGTTCACCAGTTCACCATCGGTTATCTTTTGCAGCTCTTGAGAAAAGAGTTGCATTGAAAATAAATGATTCCTTAAACACAGAAACATATCAGATAATAATTAAAGCATAAATTACTAAAGCAAGAGCTTTGAGTTTGATTAATAATCACTTTCATTAAATCAACCACCTGGACAAACTATTTATCCCATTTAATATAATGGATATTTATGCAGTATTTCAGTGGAAGTTCTGACAATAGAATAATTACATTATGTGTATTATTGTCATTTTATGGCATACTTAAACTCTTCAGACACTAAAACGTACCTTCTACACAAAATTATGTTAACTATAACATTATTTCTAATACACTTAATCTTTGAAATACATTTTGTCTTGATGACTTCATAATGTCAGCATTGTGTTTGTTATCCTCAGAACAATTAACTAATTCTTTTAATTTATTACAGACAATCATGTTTTCTGATGACACCTCTAATTAATAGGTTTTATAATATATGTATAGATCCTAGCAGAGAAGGACTTGAACATGAAAATAAAACTGTCTCCTTTGTTTTAATGAGCTCTTGTTAGATCAATATCGACTATTTAAAAATCCACGTTTTCTGAAATGATCTTTTGTCGACTTTATAAAAAAAGCAACTCTCCCCATGATGATGTCTCAGAGCAAGCTTTATTAGAGGTCACAGCAAATTAATCCCACTCACATCCAGCCGCTGAGCTCCACACATTAATCTAAGTTATTGAACATTTCACAGCAGTGTTGTTCAGCGTCACACAAAGCTTTACTTTCTCTTCCCAACATTTAAACTCATATTGATGAGAGCAGCAGGTGTTTTCCTTCTTCTCTCCCACTCAGAGCTCCTGTCCTGGGCTTCCATCAGCCTCTCTGGCCCTCACAGTGGCTCCTATTGAAGGACCTGATCTGGCTGTGGTGGTGATGGAGGACCCTGCAGGAGTACAGCTCTCCTTTCATCCAATTCTCCTGGCTCAGGCTCAAGCTGCTGCTGCTGCTGTAACGTCCGCTCTTCTCCTCCTCTGAGCTGCTCAGGACCCCCTCTGTCACCTCGGTGCCGTCCACCTCCCAGCTCACAACGGCTCCCTGAGGAGAGTAGCCGCTCAGCAGGCAGACCAGCGTGGCCGACCCCCCAGAGAGCTGCTCAGAGGAGGGGGGCAGCAGAGAGACTGAGGGTCTGACCATGGGGCCAGCTGGAGGGGAGAGCAGAGACACACAAGGAGCAGATCAACTTCTGCTGGAGGAGACACAGCTGGACATCACACAGTTATTATAGTAAATGATACTAGAATAACACAGAGGAGACAGATTTAGGAGAAGTTGGGGTTTATAAATCCATAAAATATGTTTACTTCAGTTTAGGGTTTTCATTTGATTTTATAATTTTATGGAGCTTCAAGCTAAAAAGCAACACTGATGATTTGTTCTGAGCTCGACTCTTCAGGACTTAGAACCACAATAACAGGAGCAAAAAAAAATTAAAGAGAAGGAAAAGAGGAGAATAAAACATCAACTTAAATATAAGGCTAATTAATTTACTGTGAAACAAATTGCTGAAAACAGTTAAAGACGTTTCCATCTGTCTTTTTCACTTCCTCTTTACAGCTTTAAAATAGCTAATTATTAACTTAAACTGCTTAAAGTAGATCTTCTTTTTCTTTATGTTTTCCTAGAACCAACAGATTTTAACTAAATAAAATTAAAATTTGAAAAACATAGATGTGCTTCTGAATTAGGATGCTGACCATAATCAAATTATATATCTCTTTTGAAATAAAGAAAAATACTATTAAATGCAGTTTTAGAGAAATTGTTGCTTCAAATGAACCATATAAATTATAAAAAAGAAGAACTCGCCTGTGCCCTTTGTAAGAAAAGCAAGCTGCTACAAACCAACTATATTCAGAAAAAAAAAGAAAAAGCTCTAGATCTCTATAATATTTCAGATAAAGTTTATTCACCCTTTAATAAGATAGAAACGAATTAAAACATAGTTTTGTTTCTAATAAGATGAAATGGTGATACTTACAGTGAATGATGAGTTTGGTTCCTCCACCAAAAGTCCACCACAGTGACAGAAACTCATTAAGAGGCCGTACAAAAACCTCCTGCTCTCACAGCAAACAACTTTTTACTGAAGAAACACAGTTTTTGCCCTAAAACTATAAATTTACACTTTTGCTAAAGTGAAAAGTTATTTAGCATCTTTAAATAACAATTATTTATATCAAAGGTCATTTTTTAGGACTTTTTTGTGTTTTTTCAGTTGTAAAATAAAATGTTTACTTCTCTTTCTTCTTATTCTTTTTGAAATCATTAACTTAGAAGCTTATTTAAACATTATAAAACAGAAGAAAAAGTTAATTACTTAATTCATAAATTAATAGCTGCACATATCTAATAGAAAAAAGATAAGTCAAATTTCCCAAAGGATTATGTTTAGTTTCAAATTCTGTTTCCTTTTACCCAAAATTGTAAATTTTCCCTCTTTTCTTTCTTCTTCTCTTTTAATTAAATCCTCAATGGTTTAAATCCAGCAGCTCTTTGTTCAGATGTTGTGTCTCTGTTTGTCTCCAGTGCGCTGAGAGCAGAGAAATCATTTCCATAGAGAGGAGGCTTTGCATGGTCAGCTGATCCTCCAGGGAACTGAGAAGGTTTATAGTCCTGAGAGTTCAACACTGCAGGACTCTGATCTGTCAGTCAAGCCAGCAGAAACAACAAGCACCATGACTCTCATCTCCATCCTCATCTGGACGCTGACCTGCTGCTGTTTTACAGGTTCATTCCCTCTGCAACATTTCTAACATGATGTTCTGCTTTTTTCTCTCATTTATTTCTGCTGATAAATGAAGGATTTGTTTTTGTCTGCAGGATGCAGCGCTCAGGTGACTGTGACTCAGCCTCCATTAGAAAAAACTACACCAGGATCCACTGTCATATTAAAATGTAGGACCAACCCAGCTGTAGAAAAATGCTATGGCAGTGATTGTATGGCCTGGTATAAGCAGAAACCAGGACAGCTTCCAAAACTCCTGATATATCAAGTGAATAAGCTGCATTCAGGAACACCAGCTCGGTTTAGTGGCAGTGGAAGCAGCACTGACTTCACTTTGACCATCACTGGAGTTCAGGCTGAAGATGCAGCAGTTTATTACTGTTTTAGTGGACATGTTATAAAGGGAACCAGTGTGTTCACACAGTGATGTGTAGCTGTACAAAAACCTCCCTCAGTCAGACTGCAGACACACTGAGGTGTTACAGCAGAAACTGACTGCACAAAGAGACACTGAAGCTCATCTAAGAACCTCAATGTAAATATATTGAAAACTATAAATATAACCTTAATAAATCAAGAGCTGTTTATCAAATGATGCACCTATATGTCATGAGCCTTTGATTTAGACCTGAATACAGATAGAGGCTAGGATGCACCATAGTGAAATGAAGATGTTAACAAAATTTTGAACTGAACAATAACTTGGGTAGGGAGATAAGAGACAAAATGGAGGATCCAGTAAATACTAACAGTAGGAGGAAAACTTCAGCAGGACACAGTTGTAGACAACAGGTAAATAAATGTGATCAGGACCTACTACCCTGCAAAAAAAAACTGAAATCCAAATAAGTCATTTTTTCTTGAAGGTAGTGAGGTAAGGAAGACACTTTGCCAATGGAAAAAAACAATTTACATTTAAAATAAGTGCATATTATCCAATTATCTTAAAATCACATTCCATTGGCAAATACTCTTATTAACCTAGTCAAATTAAGGGTAAATACTCTTAATTTAAAAATGCTTTACTAATTTCCAGATCGTTTTTGCAGGGTAATGAGCTGATGAGTCTGGCTGAAGGAGAAGCAACAATAACAGAACCTGAACAAGAAGAATGAGAAGAAGAAAAAATACACACAACAAATAAGCCAGCAAGCACTGACAAAATGTCAGCAAACACAACAAATATGGTGAACCCCTAATAGCTAAAATTACCAGACATCATACAGAAGGAAGGTGTATGAAAAACCTTAAAACAAAATGAAACCATAACCTAACACCAGTGGCTCATGACACTATAATGTTATTCTATAGTTTTATTTCACCATAGTGACTGCATAAAAAACTTTACATAACAATAATGTTATTTATAAAACACTATAAGTGGGTTAGTTTTGAATACACCTGTCTGTTTGATGTAGAACATTTAAAAAAGCCCAGCAAGAATCTCACTGGATAACCTGATTAAATACAGGTTAGAAGGGAACACAACCTATAACAGGTTCAGCAGTGAGGAGAGATTGGGAGGTTCCTCAACAAAAGACTTGCTTTACCCAAAGTAGTATTTTCCTTAACAATATTATTATATGAAACTGAGAACCTCAAACTGTAAATAGCAGCACTAATTGTTGTGTTTTGAGTCTAAATTTTGTTATCATGGAGTCTAGGCGGAAGTTCAACTGAAGAAACGCATTGCTTTCCTTCATCCAACTGCGACACAGCCATTCAGCTTTGAACCACACCTGCACGAAAGCCAATCAGCATCCAAAGTTCATCTTAAAAGGCCTCCGATATGCACCTGTCTAGTCCTGTGTGCAGGCGGCGGATGAGCTTTGTGACTTTATTCAGATGACCCCATTTTAACCCACCTCCAGCCCCTCCTCCACCATCGTAGCTAAAGCTTCATCAGAGTGTCATTCCTCCTGGACTCTTACTGCGTTCCCTGTCTCATCTTAACCGGTCCGGCAGAAAGCCACTATGTTGAGCCTGGTTCTGTCAGAGGTTTCTTCCCAGCTGGGAGTTTTTCCTCTCCACTGTTGCTTCATGCTTGCTCTTCATGGTCAGGTTCTCTCGACCAGTGTTATCCAAACTGGACTTCCATCTTCCAGGTCCCTGAGTGAAGCTCTATTATCAGCTCACGCAGTCCACTGGATCTCCCCATAAAGCTCAGCAGACCGTCTCACTAACCAGCAGTCTACAGACTGACCAACTTCATCTATCTTCACTCCACCAGTTTCAGGCCTGAGGGGAACCAGCCCTGTTCTTTACTCCTGTTCATGCATATCTATCAAAATTAAGCACAATGTTTCCTGCCGAGGTCTGAGCACCAAAGACTAAGTAATTGTATCAATCAATTTTTCTTAATTGTCTTTTCTCTTCATGCGAGTTTTTCAGATTCAAATGTTTTATATGTGCAGTGGGCAGGAACTCAGGTCCTTAAATAATGTTTAATAAGTCTGATATGGTCAGAGGTGCTCAATCCCTGGAACAATCAACCTATGCAGTTGGTCTTAAGGCATAAATAATCAATAAAGTTTATATATGAAGATTGAATGTGACAAAGAAACATTAGACAAGAATGTGGTTTAATCTATAGTTTTATTAAATTTGATTGTTTTTATACAAACTTAAAGTTGGCAGACAGAACAAAGGTGGCAGTAGTAATAGAAAACTCAATGAACATGAAAAGTCAATGTGATAAAATACAAGAACATGATGATTTCCAGACAAGAAGCTGCAGCTCTACTCTGAGCAGCGGTTAGGGTCCAGGGTTTGAGTGACAGGACTCTGTCCACTCTGATTGGCCTCACAGCTCACTGAGCCCGCCTTCCTCCACTGGTCTGCAGGGAGGCTCAGGGTGCTGCTCCAGCTGTAGCGGCCGTCCCTCCCCAGGACCTCCAGGCTGTTAGACACCCCTGAGGACCTGCTGCTGCCCCCCACCTTCCAGCCCAGCCTCCAGGTTGAAGGGAAGCCCCCGCTGGCCAGACACACCAGTGTGACACTGCTCTGCTGCTGCTCCTCTTTGGAGGGGGGGAGGACGGTCAGGGTGGGACGCACCACACCCACTGGAGGAGAGAGGGGGAGGAGAGGGGGAGAAAAGACACAGGAATGATAATGAGAGCTGCTAAAAACACCTTCAAAGCTTCATTCTTCATGGTTAATGATGACATCTTCATACGTCTCTGATAATATGTGACTTTTAATAATGAATCCCTGAGATGATTTTCTGATGATTAAACTGAGAGAGCTGAAACACTCATGAGGAAACAGTTCAAACGTTGACATCTGTTTCTTTCACTTCCTTTAAACTACATGGAAAACAAATGAAGCATGAAGATAAAGCTGATCTGAGTTTACTAATAAAATATTAGTTCAGTTTAACAGGAATCCAGATCAGATATTCACTATTAATTAATGATCACAAAAGGATGAAGAAAAGACACATTACAGAAAAACAAAAAATAGACAAAAATGTAAAACATTTTGTATAGGAATTAAATATGGCTGTAAGAAAAAATTTTAACATTAAACCATCTAAAGTAGATCATGTTGATCGACAATTTTTATGGCTGGAAAAGAAAATAAGTTTAATTTTCTCTCAGATTTGAACCATTTATAATCCAGAACAAACAATGACTTCTAAGAGGCTCATCCTCCAAGCTTTTTTAAAACTGCTCTGAAGTTATTGCAAAATTTTCTTTTTAGTTAGTTGGATAAAAAAGCAAAAAACAAAACAAAAAAACAACAACCCAAAAACAATTTAAACAATTTAGCAGCATTAAATCTTTCTTGTACTTACAGTCAACGATGAGTTTGGTTCCTCCACCAAAAGTCCACCACAGTGATAGAAACTCATTAAGAGGCTGTACAAAAACCTCCTGCTCTGATGACAAACAACCTTCTGCTAAAATTTTGCTTTTCAGAGTAAAAACATTTCAGTTTATTCTTAATTTCATCTACAAATCATCTAATCTTCATTCAGCTTTAAATTGCTTGATAATTTAGGATTTTTTTTTTTTACGTTATCAGCCATGAGTTTCAAACGTTAGTTTGCCTCCTGGAAATATTGTAACATTTTGTAATATTTCAGTTTTTACTTTGTTTAAACATGAAACAAAAAAATAATCATAATCCAGATTATATAATCCTAAAAACACCAATTTCTATTGATCTATAATCTTGAACCTTGATTACTAACAAAAGAGAATAATTATTCATATACCTTCAAGATAAAACTGGTTTTATTCCATATATGAAAATCCTTTATGTTGTCTCTTTTCCATCTTCTATTTTAATAAGATCCTGATTGATTTAAATCCAGAAACTCTTTGTTTAGATGTTGTGTCTCTGTTTGTCTCCAGTGCGCTGAGAGCAGAGAAATCATTTCCATAGAGAGGAGGCTTTGCATGGTCAGCTGATCCTCCAGGGAACTGAGAAGGTTTATAGTCCTGAGAGTTCAACACTGCAGGACTCTGATCTGTCAGTCAAGCCAGCAGAAACAACAAGCACCATGACTCTCATCTCCATCCTCATCTGGACGCTGACCTGCTGCTGTTTAACAGGTTCATTCCCTCAGCAACATTTCTAACATGATGTGCTGCTTTTTCTCTCATTTCTTTCTGCTGATAAATGAAGGATTTGTTTTTGTCTGCAGGATGCAGCGCTCAGGTGACTGTGATTCAGCCTCCAGTGGAGACATTTACTCCAGGATCAACTGTCACTATTCGGTGTACAACAAATCCTGCTGTTTACACATTATTTGATAATGAGTTTATGTCCTGGTATCAGCAAAAACCAGGACAGCCTCCAAAGCTCCTGATATATCAGGTGGAAAACCTTGAGGAGGGAACACCAGATCGGTTTAGTGGCAGTGGAAGCAGCACTGACTTCACTTTGACCATCACTGGAGTTCAGGCTGAAGATGCAGCAGTTTATTACTGTCAGAGCCTACATGAAGTAAATGATGGTGATGTGTTCACACAGTGATTTCTAGCTGTACAAAAACCTCCCTCAGTCAGGCTGCAGACACACTGAGCTGTTAGAGCAGAAACTGACTGCAGCTGCTGAGCAGGAAGAGACCCTGATACAGACCACTGAACACAGAGCTGAAAGAAACCTCACCAAGCACTAAGGTCACTTATGATAGATAAGGTCAGTTTAATTTAAAAACTGAAAGACTGTCAGAGCATCTCTTTACTATATTTATAAATTTTCACTATTTCAGTTATTTTCTAAATCTCTTTTTGAAATTAGTATTATGGCAGAAGTTTATACACACAAAAAAAATCATTCAGGACTAAGAAATTACACAGTTCTTCTAATTTCAGTTATTTTGACATACAGCAGATTCTAATTTTTCCTTAAAACAGGGTGAAATACACGTTTCAAACTGTAGTTAGGAACCATTTGTAGGCGGGTCTATAGTTTTTCTCTTACCAACAGAGAACAGATTTTTGGGGAAAAAAGACAATATGAAATGGGATCTAATTAAGGACATGACGTTTTTAATGTAAAAATAAATACAAAGACTGTAAGTACTATCAACCTGCACTTTTATTGAAATAATCAGTTTGCTTCAGGTTTTATAAAATAATATCAGAAAGATGAATATTAGAAATGAAACATAATCTTCCTGAATAAAATACAAGAACATGATTATTTCCAGACATGAAGCTGCAGCTCTACTCTGAGCAGAGATCAGGGTCCAGGGTCTGAGTGACAGGACTCTGTCCACTCTGATTGGCCTCACAGCTCACTGAGCCCGCCTTCCTCAGTTCAAATGTTGACATTCTTTCAATTCCTTTAAACTACATGGAAAACAAATGAAGCACCTCCTGCTCTCACAGCAAACAGCTTTCTGCTGAAATGTTGCTTTTCAGAGTAAAAACTTTACAGTTTATACTTAATTTAATCTACAAATCATCTAATATGCATTCAACTTAAAATTAGCTGTCCTTTTTAGCCACAAAAAAAGAATCCTGCTTTTACTAGAGAAGTGGAAGAGTGAATTATGCCTTCAATATTTTTTTTGGGGGGGGGGGGGGGGGGGGGGGTGTTAGGGGGGGGGGGGGGTGTTAGATAGATTATATAACCTGCTGAGAAGAATGAAGGCCTGCAAAACACTGTAGATGGAGAGGTATTTAGTTGCATTTGAGATGCATAAAGAACTCGTATATGGTGGGAAATTTGTCAAATCCTGTTCTTTCAGGTTGCCAAACAGAATAAATAGAATATTTCTTAAGCATTTGAAGTTGCTCTTTAAAGAAGACGTTTTATATTTTTCTAGGTAAAAAGTACTTTGTGCTTTGAGATGTTGCACTGACCAGAATGCAAAGAGACTTTGATTTAAATAGTTTGTCGTTTGGATAAATATTTATTCGATCTGTGGAAAATCTTAATAAATTTATAGAATTTATATTCCAAACAGAGATGGAGCTACTTAATGATGTCTTTCTAATTTTTACTATTTCATGATCCCATGTGCAGCAACCGAAGCACGGATTAGATGTTATTGGATTGTTCCCAGGTGACGTGGGGAGCCATTGTTAGGCAGGAAATGTTGACGTTTGGAATCCCTTCTTGGGACGGCGCAGAGCCTGAGACGTCAGCGGACGTTGGCTGACTGCAGAATTAAGAAGCAGTCCAAACAGAAGACAAAAATAGACAAGTGGGACAGCAGAGACCAAAGGCAAGCACTGGTTTTGGCTGCTGTTTTGGAAGCTGCTCTTATTCTTCAGATACTTTATCATGAAAGACACATAACATTTTTTTTGTTTTGTTTGAGTCATATTTAATCATTCATTAGATATTGAGAGTTATTTTAAAATATGTTTTTATGAAGTAAAAACATTAGTTATTAACTGTAATTTGAGCTTAATTGTATGGCCTGTTGAGGAAAAGCTGTGCACCGTTTTTATGAATGGGAAAGCTTGTTGGTGGGGACCATTGATCTGTAAAGACATAGGAAGGGGGCGCTAATTGGTTCTTATGTCTTTCCTTTAACCTCTCCAGTAAGCCTGTGTGGCTGTGAAGGGGCCTCTATTAGTGGGATATAGGGATAATCCTTTTAAGCAATGCTTTACCAGGAATCAGTCCGTCAACACTTCCTCTCTCAGACTGGATGAGCTCCTCAGTGTTTAGCAGTACCAACATCAGATCAGGTTCACAGGCTGTCCCCTGCCTTCAGAAGCCTTTTGGGACACATACGGATCCAGGGGGCCCTTTGAGAGATTTTGGACTTTAGGGGACTGTAAGTGGGGCGAGAGGCCCGAGGTTGGGCTGAAGACTGGGCCTGAAGCAGGATGGAGATGTGGAAGAAGCTGTATAAGCATGTGGTGTCTGTGAAAGTCAGGGAATATGTGAGAGACTACTGCAAAAGGAATGGACTGCTAACCCTCTCTGTGTTTGCTGTCGTTACTGGCTGCGTTCTTGGGTTTGTACTTCGGACATTCAACCTCTCCACACAGGTATGGATGAGAAATAACAGGAGAAAAAACATCAACTAGAAAAAAAATTTTAATTAAATAAAAATAAAATGAAGTAAACTATTCTGTGAGATTATGAATTATATAAAACAAAACAAAAAATAAATAAAACTACTAAAATGATTGCTAATGAGCAATCCAGGAGAAACTAGCAAAAGTCAGTTATGTAATTTGCCCTGCTACCTGTAACATCAAGGTCATGCCAGATCATTAAACACATACAGATATACATCCAAATGTTATAGTAATTATTTCAGCACTGAATTTTGTGTTTATTATTTAGCTTAAGTTGATTATAAAAAAAAAAAAATTGAATTCAATTGCTCAAGTAATTTGGCTTATTTTCACCATCAATAAGTTCAGATAATTGTCGGTGTCTTTTGAGTTTTAATGTGCTTACATTTTGCTTAATTTCAAAGAGTAGGCTTTATTTTTAACGTTGGGAATCTTTAAGTTTTGCATTAAATTAACATGTTTTGATATCAAATGATTTATATCACGTTCTATAATTCATTTATATACAATCATTACAAACTGCTTGTTTTATGGTACATAGGCTACTCTGCTCACTGTGAAATAAGATATTCTTAGGAGGTTAAAGCTTTTGGGCAGGAGGCAAATTACTGACGCACACCCAGATTGGTGTTGCAGGGAAATCCTACAGAAGACAAAAAAACTACTTAAATAACAGTCTCATATATGAATAATGGCAAACACTGAATGTATTAGTTGTTGCATCTTATAAACATAAAATGAGACTATAATTTTGAAAAAAGCTTTCATATTCAGGTAATACAGGAACTTTATCGATATGAAGTATCATAAAGGATAAGTGATTGCAAAAGGTTTTAAACAGGATAAAATAGATAAATAGATATTTAGAGGTCAAAGTTCCCCATTGGGCCATCCAATGGGTGAAGGGCTGTGACCCTACTTTGGGGTTTAGATAATTTTTAGACATTAAACTATGAAAAAAGCAAATAAATATAAAAACAATACCCATGCTATGAATGTAAAATAAAAATATACGTATTAACAGATTAAAACACGTGTTTTATATGTCAGTGAATCCCTGTTTAACTAATATGGTAAAACTGCTTCAGTGCTCAGCTTTTTGTCAGGGTAATTTGGCTTGTAAGCTGCATTTGGGTGCCTCTTTTACCCAGGGCAAAACAAAAGCTACAGTTGATATTAAATATCTATATTTTTTTTAATCATTGATTGTTCTAACAGAGAGGTTTACAACAACTTTACATGTTATCCTAAACTTGTATGCATTCGACTATTCTGCATGTCTTTAACAGAGCAGCAGGCTCACAGGTTAGAAAATAGTATGACATTAAAAACAATTTAAAGTACAATTACTTGAAGGTTTATTTCCCTAATTGCTATTTTGCCCGCTCACAGGCAAAGATCTACTTCTCCTTCCCTGGTGAACTACTGATGAGAATGTTGAAGATGTTAATTCTGCCACTCATCACCTCCAGGTAAGGATTTGTTGAACTTCTTTGACAACCTAATAACTGTAACAACCTAGTTTGATTTGTTAAATCATTAATTGATTGAGTTTATTGATTTTACATTTACTATATATTGATTACTGATTCAGCTTTAAATGCAACATAATGCTGTTTCTATAAATTCTTCATAAAAATGTGCATTAAACATAGAAAAGCTGCAACCAAATAACTAAAGTATCAGAAATAAACAGACCCTTTAAGGCAAAAACAAAAACAGTAGCTTAGAATGCATGAATTTTTCAGAATGGTTTATATTGCTTCTAATTTCCCACAGTCTTATGTCCGGCCTGTCAGCCATGGACACGAAGGCAAGTGGCCGTCTGGGTGTCCTGACAATAACTTACTACCTGTGGACGACTTTTATCGCCGTGATTGTCGGCATCATTCTGGTGCTGATCATTCACCCTGGAACGGGACAAGAGAAAGATGGCCACCATGGAGGCACGGGGCATGTCATGACCTCTGCTGATGCTCTGCTGGACCTCATCAGGTAACATTCACTCTTTCACATGAGAACATAACAGTGATATTGGTCTGGTGAACATGACCGTGAAGGTATACCACAGAGTCCTTATGACTTGTGAACAGGATATGAGAACAGATGAAACTAAAAATACAGTTTAATCTCTCCTTGTAAAATTTGGTGTTGTGTTTTAAAAAAGTATTCATGCTTCTTAAGCTTTTCTTAATTGAATACATTAAAGCTAAACACTGATAGGACACAGAGTACTGTACATATATGTTTTGTGGATTTCTTGGGTGGCTTGCATTTCCATTTCAGCCCCTTCATTCTAACTTTGAAACCCCTAAATATAATCCAGTATAAGCAGCTACGAGCAAAATGTATCTTTTCAGCTTGTAGACTCCATTTTTATGTAATCAAGTCTCAATTTAAAGAGACAAAGTCTTTGAGGTTTGTTAGTAATATATAATAGAAAGAACACTATGCAGAGCCTGTAAAA